TGGCGCCATTTGTTTGTGGTGTTCGGAAGACAGTTGTAGATTTTCTCGACGCAGTCGAAATTTCTTCAGTCGTGTCGACTCCTCTGATGGGTGACATTGGCTCTCCGATAGCTGTGTTTACTCTGGGTGTTGGGGAGATTGGAATTTCTGCAGCAGTTGTCACTACTGGAGTTGGTGGGATCGAATCTTCGATGGCTGTGCACGCAGGTGATAGGGTTTCATAGGCCGGTGGTCCTGATACTGTCCTGGCTCGTGCATCTGGAGGTGTCCTTGCTCGCGCAGTTTGGAGACTATCTCGATCATGCGACTGTTGAGAGGAATCCAGCAGCCATGAGCTTTGAAGATAGACTACTTTCTTTCTTTTAGTATGGGGAGTTGCTCCTGAGTGGGGTGGAGATGATGCGGATTGTTTTTGTTGGTCGCCTGCAGGCTTATGAAGAAACTCGTCGATCCTGACCTTTTGCGATTTCTTCTCCTCGGACAGCTCTGACGTCAGCTGTGCGATTTTGTTTGATGGTGTTTTAATACGAGCTGTTGCCAGCAGCGATGATGCTGTAGTATCACTAACGGTATTTTGGGCCACATTCCAATTGTCGTTGTCGACTCCGGTGAGGAGTCTATTTCTAGATGATGATGTTGGCGAAAAGAAATCGGTCAGATTAACTGCTGTTCCTGGAGAAAGAGTTGTCTCTCCTGACGATTTCGAATCTGGGCGCAACTTCGCTTCACTTTGTCTTGATTTGGTTTCACTTGCAGTTTTTGGGGTTTGGTCTTCAGCAACCTGCGCACTAGTTGTTGAGTGTGGTGCTGCCGTCGATATGATTGGTGGTCTAGGTGGTCCGTGAACTACCGCACTGTTGGATGCTACTATTATAGTAGGACGTGGTCCATGAAGTATGTCTGCATTCTCTGGAATGGCCGATATTTGTCTCAAAAATTTCTTTGTGACCTGCGGCCGCCTATGTTTAGGGTGGATTCTGGGTTTCAAGGCTGAGATGGTTCTCGATTTCGAG